TTGAGGTCAGGGCTTCAGATAGAGATGGAACCCAGAGCTCTGTAAATTGCTTTATTTGATGGTCTGTTCAGTTATGATAATAAATGTTTGAAAGGTGATAGTTGACTCCGATTATTCTTCATAAAAGTACACGCTGCACTTGTCAAGCAAAATCAATTCAAGAATTTGGGTGAACTTCACAAGGAATGGACTGAGGATGGGGTCAAGGCATCAGGAGCAACCACACACCGCCATGTCAAGGAATTTTGGCTGCAGTTGTCGTATTCCATTCCATTCTTATTCCTCTTATCAAGCCACTCCTGAACCACAGACAATGTCAGAGGTGTCTTAGCTGGACTAAGGAGAAGACGAACCGGACTGTTGCCCAGTGGTCCAAAGTCCTCTTTTCAGACAAGAGCAAGTTTTGTATTTCATTTGGAAACCAAGGTCTTAGAGTCTGGAGGAAGGGTGGAGAAGCTCATAGCCCAAGTTGTTTGAAGTCCAGTGTTAAGTTTCCACAGTCTGTGATGGTTTGGGGTGCAATGTCATGTGCTGGTGTTGGTCCACTGTGTTTTTTGAAAACCAAAGTTACCGCACCTGTTTACAAAGAAATTTTAGAGCACTTCATGCTTCCTTCTGCTGACCAGCTTTTTGGAGATGTTGATTTCATTTTCCAGCAGGATCTTGTGCCTGCTCACACTGCCAAAAACACCAAAAGGTGGTTAAATGACCATGGTGTTGGTGTGCTTGACTGGCCGGCAAACCCTGCCAAGTATTGAGTACATATACAGTAAATGAACATACTTTCCAGAAGGCCAGCAATTCACTAAAAATGTTTTTTCTATAGCTCTTATGAGGTATTCTAATTTATTGACATAGTGAATTGGTGGGTTTTTGTTAAATGTGAGCAAAATCATCACAATTAAAAGACCCAACAGCTTAAACTACTTCAGTCTGTGTGCACTGAATTTATATAATACACGAGTTTCACTATTTGAGTTGAATTACTGAAATAAATGTACTTTTCCACGATATTCTAATTTATTGAGATGCACATGTAATCATTTTATCCTGAATTTTTTTAACACCCAATCCTAACCCTAACCCTTCAGAGCAGCTACAATTCAGACAAAGGACTTGTCTCCATACTTGTCTTCTTAGATCTCAGTGCTGCTTTTAACACCACTCATCACAGCATCTTATTACAGACTTGAACATATTATTGGGATTAAAGGAACTGCACTAAGTTGGTTCAAATCTTATTTATCAGAAAGATTCCAATTTGTTCATGTTAATGATGAATATTCCACACAAACTGAAGTTAGTCATGGCGTTCCACAGGGCTCTGTGTTAGGTCCAGTTCTCTTCCCTTTATACATGCTCCCTTTAGGCAATATTATCAGGAAGCACATCATAAATTTCCATTGCTATGCAGATGATACTCAGTTATATTTATGAACCCAGATGAATCAGATCAGCTGGCCAAACTTCAAGCATGTCTTAAAGACATAAAGGCCTAGATGACCTGTAATTACTTACTTCTAAACATTGATAAAACTGAAGTTATTGTACTTGGGCCTGAAAACCTTAGAAATCTGCTATCTAAACATATAGTTATTCTAAATGACAAAGCTCTCACCTCCAGTACTACTGTGAGGAACCTTGGAGTCCTTTTTGACCAGGATATGTCCTTTAAATCACACATAAACCAAGTCTCTAGAACTGCCAATATTTCACCAATATTCTTTTCACACAATATTGTGAAAATCAGGAGCATCCTGTCTCAAAGTGATGCTGAAAAACTGGTCCATGCATTTCTTACTTCCAGGCTGGACTACTGTAACTCTTTACTATCAGGATGTCCCAATAGTTCCCTAAAAAGCCTCTAGTTATTCCAAAATGCTGTAGCCAGAGTATTGACAGGAACTAGCAAGAGAGATCATATCTCTCCCATATTAGATTCTCTCCACTGGCTCCCTGTAAAATCCAGAATAGTGTTTAAAATCCTTTTCCTAACATACAAAGCCCCTAATGACAAGGCTTCATTGTATCTTAAAGACCTCATAGAACCTTATCATCCCAACAGAGGACTTGGCTCTCAGAGTGCAGGTTTACTTGTGGTTCCTAAAGTCTACAGAAGTAGAATGGGAGGCAGGGCCTTTAGCTATCAAGCTTCTCTCCTGTGGAACCAGCTCCCGGTCTCAGTTTGGAAGGCAGACACGCTCTCTACCTTTAAAATTAGACTTAAGACTTTCCTTTTTGATAAATCTTAGGTTTATATAATATTGTTGTTTGTCCAATATAATCCTAGTAGGAGAGGTGGTGGAAAGGTACTCCTCTATCCACTCACCCCAACCGATCAAGGCAGAAGGCTGCCCACCAAGAGCCGGGGTCTTGGTTTCTTCCATTAAAGGGAGTTTTTCCTCCCCACTGCCACTACATACTGCCCAAAGGGGAATTTGTTGGGTTTTTTAATAGTAAGGTCTAGACCTGACTTTGTAAAGTGAGACAACTTTTGCTGTGATTTGGCACTATACAACTAAAACTGAATTGAATGGAATTAATAAAACCTATAGAGGATATTATGCCATCATACAGTAAACGGCTTACAGTGCTATACCATACATATCAGTTTCATACTTTATATATTGGGACAAAAGCTATTATATATGACTGTTAGCCCTCTGTAAACAGTGAACACTGTTTCCAAAGGTCTTCCAAAGGATCATATTGTATGAGGGTGGTGGGGAATGGAAGTTCCAATGGCAACAGTCAACACTAGTTAAATGATCATATTCTTGAAATTACAAAACACACACAATTAAATTGATTCCAGCTCTAAAAATGACATTTTTTTTTATTTCAACAGAATAAAAAACAACAACAACAAAAAAACAGTTAAATAGAAGCACTCTTTTATAATATGAAGCACTTCTGGTCTGTTTCTAAACTTTAATAAAATAGAATTATCATCTTACAAAATAAGCTTGGACTTGTAAATTTTTATTTGTACATTTTCATAATGAATATTTCAATCTGAGAACAGACACTGGCATTTAGGATAGTTTTGCATAACAATTGTACTCTTTGTACTCTTCTATTTTATTCTTTTTTTGTCTGTTTGCTCATTACGCATTCTAAAGGACCAGTTGTGCTTAGGAGATTCAAGTTATTTTGTGTTGCATAAGTTATCAATGTACACAGGTAGGAACTGAGTCAGGCATTGCATAGTCTTCTCTAAAGGGACACATGTATAACAGAAGATAGAGACAAAAAGTGCAATTAGAAGCAGTGCCATGGAGACTAATTATTGTTTCTGTATAGAATGCAAATTCAATCTGTGACAGAAATATACCTTCTATTTAACCGTTATACAAAACACTATCTATAACTGGCTAGTACATTACAAGTGGTTATAGTGCCGAGTACAGCTTTTTAACTGGATGGTTTACATTAAACTTTAAGGCCATTATACCTGCATACCTTTATTTATACTTGCTGTTCATGCACAAATCTTTAAAGGTGCTATGTGGAGCATATTTACATAATTAAAGTCAGTCCTGCAAACATAATGGCATTGTATTGTGAACCCTTAGCCCTTAAAATTAGAATCCTGAAAGCAAAATCTGTGAAATCTGGTGAGGCCACCATCGTGAATTTCTTGACCACCACCTTGCCCATTATTTTCATTCTGGGAAACCACCATGTTAACACTCTTAAACAGAGCTATGTTTCATTAGATTTATGATAGCCCAGCCTGACAGTTGTAGTTTGATGTGTTCTTTGTTCCATATCTGGAGACACCCAGTAGTTTCTTCCTTGCACCAAACTACTCAGCCATATCTGAGTAACAAATTCCAACACCACTGTTTTGAACAAACCCAAAACCACTAGACTATAATGGGTTTACTTTAATGTGTAAAAAAAAAAACAAAAAAAAACTAAACTGAACAGGACTTTTTCTTTGACAGTACTCCGAGTTGCCTCCAGCCCCCAAATCATTATATCTGCCCCTGCTCTGTGTGCTCTCGAGTGAAACTGAACTTCTGAACAACAGTTCAAATGATTCTTTGACCAAATGCAGACTGAATTTATGAAGAAAACCACAACAATCAGCTGGTGAATGGTTAATTTTTTTCAATAGCCCATAATATTTGTAGAATTTAGTTAGCTCCGTGCACAGGCTCATGGCTGCTTAAATAAATAACATATATGGGCAAAAACTACAAGCTAGTCAGTGGAAAGCTGCATTTCTCTGTGATGGACCAGCAATCTATTGAAATATCTTTCAAAAGATTGCTGGTGTTTCTGCCCTTACATACAAAAGACTAGAAGCAAACCTGGAGCATTTCGTGTTCACAATGCACAGATTGAGCGAACCACAATCATGGACTTGAAACAAACTGAACTGAGACCACATCCTGAGGGGGTCTCGGTTCGTTTCAGAGGGGTCTGAGTTTGTTTGAAGCATTCACATTTATGCAAAAAATGCTAACTAATCACTCTGAGTTCGTTTTGAGGGCTGAAAGACCAAACAATCAAAAAGCAAGGTTACTGTGTATGTGTATGAAGGTGTTGGGGTGGGTGTGCCGTGTGGAATGGGAGAGAATGCAGTGGATAAACAAAGTGATGCAAGTTATTTTAGTTTTCCAAAAAAAAAAGGCGATTGCCAAGTTATACAGCCCTGGTACTGGTATCATTAGCACACTGTGGTCTAAGAAAATGTCCAATAGTTTTTACTGGTGGTGAAAAAGCTCAACCTTGATGTTCAAGCCAAAATAGCACGACTGTACAGTTAAATGGGTACATGGAAAGAACAAAGGAAAACTGCTTCAAAAATACTTAAACATGAATAGGTCTAAACTATGAAGCTCATACAAATCACCTTTTACATTCAGCAAACACAATCAACCTACAAGGATTTTTGGTTCTTCTAAATGATAATTCAGAGCAGTGAATGTGGTTTCCATGAGGTAATGTGTTAAAATTTCTCAGTAGGGACAGGAATATGAGGGAAGGAAGCTACATGACTAAACATACAAACATGCCTTCATTGTACATCCATCAGAACATGACAACCATCATCTTTCAACACTCTAGTCACATTCCATCATGTACTTATAATCCTTCATGTATACTGTTTCAACTAAATTCTTACTGAATCAGTCATCGTCTGTGTGTCCACACTGTAAGCAACATGAGCACCCATCAGCAATGTTAGTATGAAAGACTAGAACACCCAGGTCTCTGTTAGTGTACAGTGCAGTCAACACTGAGTGGGGCCTGTGTAGTACAGCCCATGCTGTGGACAATGTGGAAACAAAGCACTGTGCACCACTGGGTCATTAATGATATTTAGCTAGTTATGTTGACACATGAAATTGTAAAATAATTAGTCAACATCATGACAACATTAGCTAAAAAACTGCATCAGGCAGAGGATAATGAGTTTTCTAAGCAAGACCACTAGAATGCACGGAGAGTGTTTTTACCTCTGTCAAGGAGGTATTGTTTTTGGTTCCGTGTGTTGGTTAGCAGGATTACGGACAAACGGCTGGATGGATCAGCAGCATACTTGGTATAGACATTTGGGGGGACCAACCCTAGAAGTGATTAGATTTTGGCTGAAAAAGGTCAAGGTCACAAACGATAACAAAAATCCCCATCTTTAACATTGGGCAAAATTGAAAAAATTCATATCTCTGTCAGAACTTATCGAAAACATTTGATATTTAACATAGATACATACAGTTGCAATGTCTATCACTGGATTTAATCCAGATTCAGGATCTGACGGTGATACAGATAACATCATAATGATGAAGTTGCACTGGAGCCCATCAGAACTCACATTTGATGATGCAATCCAGAATGCAAAGAAGTCAACTGCACAAAAGGTTGGATTTGGCGTTTGTAGATGTGCATGCTGGTCTAGGTTCGAGTTCCTTCCTAAGTCCATCATTGCAGAAATAATACTGAAAGAGGACAAGCGTGTCGCTCATTCAGGGGTGTTTTTAACAAAGCTATTAGATAGTGAGATGAGTAGTTTTTAAAACAAGTACACAGCTACACATGAACATAGGGTTTGAAGTTGCACAGCCCTTAGACTGAACTACAGGTTGTGTAGTTTTGTTTGTGGCCTGTTACATTCATGTATAATAATCAAATGGCAGGGAGAATGTAGGGTCTTAAGTTGTACAGTTAGCATTTCCTACAAAGGCCATGGTCCATTAGAGGAGTGAGATCAGATGTTATTGTATCTTGTGCTGCCAGTTTCCTATGTGGGTGGAGGTCCGTCATAGCGGAGCATGATGTTGAAGGACCAAGCAAAGTTGTTGGAGAGGGAGCAGCTGCTGCCTTCGTCCATGAGAGGTAGCAGGAAGGCCAGCAGCAGAAGAGCCAGGAGGAGCAGCCACAGTGGAAGAGCCAACCAACACACCCGCTGCAGCAACCCAGGTTTCTGCAACAGCAACACAGGGTTAGTGGAACACAGACGCACGTATGGTATGCAACGTAGGTTGTAGGATCTAAAAACCGTGTAAATGACTGAGCTGGTGAATTTTTTTAATACTTATTTTGTGTCATTTTATAGCATTATTAGTTAATCACGGAGAGGGAAACAGGAGGGACCCCAGCGGGGTATATGGTACGCCAAGCCATTTGACTTTGGGTTGCCCAAGCTGCTTAAAATGTACATTTTAATAAATTACAGACTAGGTACACAAAGCAGGATAAGTGTCTTTCAATTCTCTGTCCTATTCATATCTTCTACTCTAGAGGCTGCAACAGATTTGTTTAGTTAGAGGCAAATATTTATTTGTATAATCAAAAGGATATAAAGTTTCCAGAAAGGCTCATAAAGGCCACTAATAAAAAAGATGGATAAAACCTGATGGAACAGTTTCCTTGGATGTTAGCCATTATAAATCAGTTAAGTGAATTTGGTGCAAACACAAATGTAACTGCATCACAAGCTCAACACTCTTTATAATTATCCTTACTCACTGATTATTTCAGCTTCCTACTTTATGACTTTAGCTATAGCTATTCTTTGGCTTCCTCCAGGCTTTCACCGGGATCCAAATTTACAGCTGGGCTGACTTTCACTTGGCTTCGATTTGTCTCATTGTTTTTCCTGAAGACACATTGACAGCAGCCTCTCCCCTGCTGGGAGGAAGGGAAGATCCTTAATATCCCCTATACCCAAGGTATAGGGGATGAGGACATATACCACGCCTTGACCATCACTGGATAATAACTGGCTCCTGGATAGCTGTGTCCTGACATCCAGGACCACCCTACTTTGTGAGTCGACCTCCTCTTTGCCAAAAACTCTAGGAACATCACATGCTCAGTTTCAGCAGGGGGAAGATCTCTTTTCTGCTTTGAGCTTTATCACCCCCAGGACCATGAGCAACTCGCCATATGGAATACAGGTGGAGTGCATAAGCCTCCTAATGGCAGCCCACAAAGGATGACCTTCTTTCAGGTCATTGACACAACAGACACAGCAAGGAGTGATCTGAAAAACAGCATGTTCAGTGTTTACTTAGTCATCTGCAAAGCATTAGCTGTGGTTAGCAAGCATCGCCTGACTGGTAGAGGTTCACTGTCCTATCACTGGCGATTGGCATGGACACGGGAAAAGGCTTTTTGGAGGGTCCAGGATGACTTCTGCCAGTCTGAGCCACAGGAAAGAGGGAACTGAACATCAAGAGCCAAAATACTGCAGGTAGGTTGGAGGTAAGCTTGGTTAACCACAGAACTGCAGACCTACCAAATTACCTCCCAGATTACCAGCCTGATGAACCAGTTGACCCATGCTGACATGAAGGCAGATTTGAGCTATGTATGGAACTATCTCTCCAGCTATGCTCTGTTGATCCTGCATTTTCCCCAAGTAACATAGAAAGGCATCCTTGTGATAAATTATGACAGATTTTCTCAGCACTGGAACATTTATCTTGAGGATCTTCCATCCATCCATCCATCCATTTTCTTCCGCTTATCCGGGGCCGGGTCGCGGGGGCAGCAGTCTAAGCAAAGATGCCCAGACCTCCCTCTCTCCAGACACTTCCTCCAGCTCCTCCGGGGGAAT